TGGTAAAATTTTGGATTTTTTTTTTAATTTTTTTTACTTTGGCTTATCCCCTTTGCATTTTAGTTTTTTTTGGAGAAACGATAAAACCCCCTTCCCTCAAAGAAAAAAGCCCTTCCCCCCTAAATAAGGCCCCCTGCCCTTTTAAGCTCCCCCCCAAAAGTGTTTGTTAGGGTGGGGGGGGGGGGGGGGGGGGAAGAAAACTATGCAACCGGAATGTTTGCAAGGAACAAAAAGCTGCATTCGGCGAGATTTGTTACTAAATCGACTAATTCTTATTATTTTAATTGAACCAATCACAGGTTGGCTTCTAAGATCTATATTTTGTCTCATACTTACTGGTTATATTTATTCTAGATACATGTACGATGGACAGGATGGAATAGAACACTTTTACTATATATGCTCAGAGTTATGAGAGCTTATACGAACTATGTACTGCATATAGGTTCAAGGATATCAAAACATTTACAAATAAAAGTGCCAAAAGTACATTTGAACTAATTCATTTAATAAAAAATATCGTTGTTTAGTCGGTTCGAAAAATATTCTAATAGACGACATGTAAACAGATGAACCTCTCCTTTTGAACACCTTTGTTCAAGGGACAGCTCCATTCAGGGGGCACAAAATTTGGTCCTCTATTGAAGGGACACCTCTATTCAGGGGAGAGGGGACACTTTTCCTTGGTTCCGAAACTCGGGTTTAACCTTCATTTAGGGGTCACCTGAGCACTCAAAAAGTGACTGACCACAAAAATCATTGATATGTTTAAGTGCACACGAGTCACAATAACGACTGCTTTCAAAACATGAACTATCTCACTTAAACTGATCTACTGCACTTGTGGCAATTCAACACACATTGCAGAGACAATGATCATGATTTTTTATACATTATCTAGCTGCTTGAGATAATCACTGCAGCAGATTCTGACTCAGAATAAAAGAAAAAAGTTTTCATTGTTGGTTAATTATTAACAAACCTCAGCCTGTACTGGACAGCACAGGAAGGGTAACGCGTTACACATATATAAGAGTAAGGGACGGAGAGTAAGGGACGGACATATAATAAGGGTATCGATGGAGGTTATGTTGATAGAACTGTCCTAAAATCTTAGTCTATGGGACACATAGATGGTTCGATAGTGTGGGACATTTCTCAAAATATCGCCCCATGTGAGGAGGGAATCTGGATTTCGGAATCCGGGAAGTTTTTGCTCGCAAATTCTGGAATCCAGGGCTTTGGAATCCGGAATGCAGCCTAACGAATCCAGAATCCCACTAACGATTGGATTCAGAATCAAAGATCCACTGACAAAGGCCGGAATCCAGTACCTGGAATCCATAATCGAAGGTGTGGAATCCACAATTCAAGAGTGTCTTGGATTCCATTACATTGGGGTAAAAATATCAAGGACCCAAAATGTCCAAGTAAAATCGCAGCGATACACTTGGGGAGTCAATGGTGATGCAAGTTCAAGACATCGATTCGAAAAATATCCCCGTGGCTTACTTCTCCCACGGGACATTTTGACGGGCTTTCAGTTATAGAAGGGCCATTTTCGATTCAAAATCGGTTGAACATCAACAAGGAGAAACGCAGGAAAATTAGGCAATCAACTATAAATTGTCTACATCTCCCTCAGAACATGATAACGTTAAACACAGCAGCAAAAAACTTTATTGGCAATAGAATGCCATAAGTATATAAAGTAGACACTTTAAAAATGTCTTTTCTACCGCAGCTGTTTATGCTATACACCCTCAAACTAAAAAATCCTAGGCCTACGTATACAGTATTCAGGTTTATTTCATGCTGATGGCAACTCTCAACTTAAAGCTTGAACTTTAAGCCCCCTGGTCAATTGTTTCATGAGGAGATAGATCGTGCTGGAGACACGCCTTTTAAAAAAAAAAATTACATGCTTTAAATCACATGCTTCAGTAACTGTATGTTCTACTGTCGAAAGTACAGTTACAATACAGTTACCATAAAAAATGTTCAAATTGATCAACTATAGGGTTTCCAAGTAAAAACTAAGATTTAACTGCTGAATAAAAAAGATATCCGCTGCTCTCTGTGTTTATCGTAACAAAGACTTAGCTTGGAGCCCCCGGTAAAAAAAAAAAATCGAAAAGAACCCCCCCCCCCCCCC